AGTGATACAAAAACAATTCCACAAAAAAGTGTAAGTAAGCTTTACCCAGTCTAGAAGCCTGTTGTTTCCATTTTGGAAGAGAATTGTGTTTGTGCAAGCTCATATTTTTTATTCATATGCATGGTACAATATGACATTACACCTTACTTGATCTCATAAATTCAGCTTTGCCTCATGTTGACCCTGCCAAAGATATGAATCATTTACTCCACATGCAAATGAATTTTGCTGTATAGTCTGTGTTGCATTTTTAAAGCATTAGTGTGGATTGTTCCATCCACAAACACACAAACTGTCTGTGCACCACAAAGATGGACTAGTCCGTACTGACAAAGAGCAATACGAGAGAAACCCAGCACTCCCTTCATCTCTACTTCCTCTCTCTTTTTTCTCTCTTTTCAGTCGATACTTCTGTTTCCCTTTTATTTCTTTTCCTCTTCATTCACAATTCCAATGCCAAATCTGTGTGTGAGTGTGTTGGCACAGCACTGCATTACACAATTCAAGGCTGGTTCTGTTGGTGTAAATTTAACACATGCTTTGATGCTTTTATTTTTACATCAGCTGCTAGATTTTTCTTTCAGTAAAACTCTGAATAGGCCTACCAAAAATTCTTAAATCTGAAACAGCATTGAACCCCCTGAAGAATTCATGTGTAAGAAGCATTATACGCTTAAAGCAACCAGGCACATCAGCTATAAGAGCCACCAGGAGGTGGCCTAGGCTAACTAAAGCTTTCAGATCTGAGTAGAGCAGCTGAATGTCAAACCACTACACACAGGCACAAAAGAGACTCCTTTATCTCAACCTTAATGTTCTTTAAATAATTTAGGCTAATTTAATTTACATTTTTGTTAAACTGTTTAAATTTAAAGTAAAAAATCTAAATGCACAAAACAGAGTTTACGTGTTTAAACCTGTCTCTAGAGACTTGTGAGGCAATCAGTCTAACCAGTCAATATGCTGATTTTTAGAATAATATTTTGTACACCACTTTGCTGTGAATTTCTTTGCCAGCAACACAACAAATAGTGGCCTTTTAACAGCAGCGACTCAATGCCTTGGATTGAAAAAGAAATGCTGAAAGTTGGCTTATTCTGTTACTCAGTCATCACACTCTTATTTCAGCCAGTTTGGCCCATTCTCTTGGGTCACTTGTAGATGTGATGGAGCACTCTCTAAAAAGCAATGCACCTGGCTAACACACACAGTCCGATGAACCCATACAAACACACACACACACACACACACACACACACACACACACACACACACACACACACAAACACCCACACACAGACACAAGCTCATCCCTGGAGACAAGCTGCAAAAGCAGTTGTACCATGTCAGCTAAAGCAAAGCACAGGATACATGATTGAACTAAACTAGTGTCAGTGAAATATTACCCAGCCGAGCACAACATACAGACTAGCTGCAAGGTCAGCAGGTCAACAGTTTGTTGTTTGTCTGTGTACTAAATAAGAGATACATGGATGGGTAGAGGGAGAGAGTCCAGAATAATGGATGGAAAATACAAACAATGTAAAGAGAGGGAGGGTTAAAAAGAAAAGGGAATACAAAGTGAAAAGAGGGAAAAACTGAATAGAAAACTATGAATCCACACGAACATAGGAGTCAGGGGAAGAAAAAAGATGATTGACTTTGTGCAAATGTCACCTCATTTGTAATGGTTACATGAAAATATAATAAGTGGGCAAGCTCATTGCTGTTTGAATGTAGAAATCAAAAGGACGGATGAAAAGGAGAAGAAGACAAGTCCGCAAATTCACTACAGGCCATTCTAAAGCACAAAGTAGGCCCCACACTGCGGAACAAAGACAGAGATGGGCTATTCAGAACACAGCCAGGGACACTATGCTCCATATTTTATTTTATGAAATCATGCCCCTCCTTCTGCCCTCCCCTTCCCTGAAATGAGTGATAACGACACAGATTGCTAATCTCTCTTACATACTAAAGCTAAGACTGTAGCACACTGCTGAGCTGCACAAATGACTGCAACTTTTTCCAAACTTGCAGCGTTTTTTAGACAGGAGAGAGGGCCATGATCTCCAGGGACCCGAAACTCACTAGGCAAACAATACTAATGCAGAGTTTTACAGCGCAGACGGCAGCAGAAGTCTCTCTCTCTCTCTCTCACAAACACACTCTCACTCTAGCTCTCCTTCTGCACCCCGCTTTTCTCTCTCTTTCCCCCCCTCTCCACCTCTCTCTCTTTCAACATACTGGGTCAGTCAAGCTCCTGCACTGCAGCACAGTCAAGCAATGTGTTCAAGCCTTTTTCATGATCTCAAGACTGAGGAAACTGTACCGGTTGGAGTGGTTCTCTTTTCTCTTTTTGGGTTTTCTTTTTGTATGTTATCAACTTGTTTTGTTGTTTGTTGTATAATGTACCATTTGTTCCAGTTAGAACTGTTTGTAACGTAATTTTAGTGACAGCTACGCTGATGTGTGACAGTCTCCTGAGGATTATACACTTGGTGCAGTATAAAGAATAGCACCAGTAGGAAATGCAGATGTGTGTGTGTGTGTGTGTGTGTGTGTGCGTGTGTGTGTGTGTGTGTGTGTGTATATATATATATATATAAATATATATATGGACACAGAAGAAACTGCAGCTATGACCTGACTGTCTTTGCAGAAAGATATACACAGCACAAAGAAAACCAGAAGTAAGTTGAGCCATCAGCATAATCACACAAAATTCAACTAAGCTCCTGGACACACACACACACACACACACACACACAAACACACACACACAAAACACACACACACACAAATGGGCAAAGGAGCCTTTCCCACATTTCCCACCACACACAAACAAACACGCATGCACAAAAAGTGGAACGTGCCTTTCTGTATGCAGCACCTGCAGTATACTGCAGCTTCAGCACCATGGTCAGAGACAGATTGGCTTTTTCAGCAAACTGGAGATAATTCCCTGTTTCCCAAACGGAGAAAGCATATCACACCACACACACACACACACACACACACACACACACACACACACACACACACTAATGCAAAATATAAGTGGTAACAGCCCTCTCGTAGTCCCCTCATGCTCTCTCTGCTTTGGACTTTCTTTTTGGTTAATTGAACGATTACAGCTTCTTTCAGCTACAAAAGAGCAAAAAGAATCCCTCCTTTCTCTAAGTGGCACACCCTTCACAATCCTCTACTGACAACTCCATGTTCTCTCACACTTTCCTAAGCCCCTTGTCTGTGCTCTCCCTCCCATCAATAGCGCTCTTAAACTGATCCCTTCCTCCCATTTTCTTATTCCTCTCACTATTCATTCCATGCTCTCATTTCAAAATATGTCTGAGCTAATTAAGACTCTCAAATACCCATCAACAAACACACAACAATAGAGCAGAGAAAAGCAAGAGAAAATAAACACATGTTGCCAAACTTTTAGCCACCACAAAGACAGATGTGAATATGTATGTATCTATCAATCTGTCTCGCATTCCCTCTCTCTCACATTGCACACGCACACACGTAAACATGCATGCCCACACACAGAAACACATACGTGCACTGACAACTGACAGCAGCCTTATTCCACTATGCAGTGCAGGCACACACCAGCCAAACAACAGCCAGAGGCCCAAAAATACCCTGAGCAAAAATGCCAGAGGAGAGTTAAGGAGAGGAGAGGAAGAAAATATAACACCACACCACACATGAAACCACGTCCCTGGGGGCCTCCTAAAAAGTGTACCTGTAATCCACGCAGTCACATCCAGGATACTGCCTCCACTAAACATGAAAAATATCCACTTATATTTACTGACAGCAAATGGCTGGAGTGAATTCTGTGCTGGTATGAGAGTGTACCAAAGCTTTTCTAATAGGCTTATAGTATCTCAAATCTCTAAAACTAGCTAATTTGAAGCAACTGTGTCATGGTTAAGGTTTAAAGCAGCCTATTGATATAGAATTATGTGTCATTACATGTGTCTGTTAACAAGCATGCAATTATGTTCTAATATGACTTTTAGATGTATGCCTGAAGGAGAGTGTGCCCAGCATTTTTACAATTGAACTATTAAGTACGAGAGAGCAAAACCAATTTAAGAGAAAAGCCTTGCTGAACATTTACAGCATAGCGACTTATTATCAGTGTGTTATTGGAGTTTGCATCACTTTATCAGTGTAACTGTGCACGTAAACAACCAATCCAGCACAAACTACATCTTAATAAAATAAGTACAGCCAAAAGCCAGGGTGCAAGAGATACCTTACACAGCTTTTTAGTATGTGGGTTTCATTCAAATAATGCAAGTTTCAAAGGGTCAAGTGTGTGCAAGACAGCCAACATAGACATTTTGTTTCCACAAAAGTTAGAATGACAGTCTGAATGATTTAAAATGGAGGCAAATAAAACCTTCATTATTCCAAAAACAACATCTAAAAATAATTTCTCTTTCAACATATTAACAACATGTTCAAAGTTGATTAAAATGGTTAAAACAAAGACTTGGAACTTAACTGACTCCAGACATAAGCATAAGGAAGGTGTAACACCAGCCAAAGCCCAGATATAGAGAAGTAAAATAGATCACAATCTCAGCAAAGAAAGAAAGACAAAAGTAGATGATAGTCAGAGTGAGAGAGAGAGTGTGTGTGTGTGTGTGTGTGTGTGTGAGAGAGAGAGAGAGAGAGAGGGATAGAAAAAAGAAGTTGCAGGGACAGAGACACAGAGTAACCCAAGGACAGAAAGAAAGGCACACACTGCATTTACCGTGCTGAAGTCTTGCCAACGTAAAAGCCTCAAGAGAGATGTTGAAGGAAAGGTTAACTCCACTGCAAAATTTAAATATCACTGACATAATTGAGAAAGATTCAAACAAGCAGTGCATGTTTACATTTCACACACAAAAAAGAAACATTTAGTCAACCTTCATTCCCAGTGGTTGTCCATATCTACTGTTCCACCAAATTATGAAATCACTTGGAGATATTAGTGCAGGATAACAAGAGGATTTATTGGGATAAAACCACTCAACATGGTATAATGGGACAAAGCCCAGCACTCATTTGTGAAATATTATGGTAGGTAGGTGACAGGGGTGGAGGATAAAAGGTTACCAAGATATGGGACTATAGCAAAATCATCAATGATCCCAAAACTTTATTTATTTATTCATTTGGGGATGGGGTTGATGGTGAGGGTTAGGGTTAACAGAGTAATGCATTATGTTTTTAATCAAACTGAGTGCACACTGAAAATGCTGACCATATAGTCTAACATCTTGGTCAGGGAAAGGAAGGCTTTATGTGAGTCTGTGTGTGTGTGTGTGTGGGTGGGTGTGGGTGTGGGTGTGGGTGTGTGTGTGTGTGTGTGTGTGTGTGTGTGTGTGTGTGTGTGTGTACATGTCTGTGTTTGAGCGTATAGGTGAGAAAGTTAAAACAAAGGAGCAGACAAATGAGATGGTGCAGCAGAACATGGGGGTACAGCATTGTGAAACTTTCTGCGAGTAGAAAATAAAGAGCCTTGACGTAATGCTACCATGCTTACAAAGGCTTTATATGAAGGTGACCTCCACTCATTTGAGCAACAGTAATTGTCAAAAAAAGGAAACAATGAGTACAACACAAGGTAAAATGTTCCACATTATGCAAGCTTATAGATTGGATCATTGATGATCAATACTGGATATGACTAGACTACACTAGCTAAGGGCCTTCCCATTTAACAGAGAAGAATGTGGTTTGCTACATATCTTCCACGTAGTGTAAGTTGACACATAAGAGAAACTATAACACCCAATTGCAACTGAGGATCACCACTCCTAGTAAATTGAAATCAAAACAAATTGCATATGATGCCCATTTTAAAATATCATTTTAAACAGAAATGCACCTCCGTTCCATAGATAATCACAAATTTATAGACATCAAGATTGCATCGTATTTTTCCCAAATCAAAATTTCACCTTAGGAAAGAGAAGAAGAATTAGCGCTATGATGATGTGTACTGCAACACCATATTTACTCCACAGCTGCTTCAACCTGGGGTTTTGCCTGCTTTTTACGATTTGGTCCCAAAAATGAATCAGGCTAGGATAGGGAAATATAAAATGTCAAAAATGTCACAGCAAAAACATTAAGCAATTGATGTTTGCTATGAAAGAGACTGTTGAGGATTAATTTACCACTTGGGATTACAATGAAAAAATAAAAATAAACATAGTCATTTTAATCAACAATCCGAAAATTAAAATACCGATATGCAAAAGCGCTGATCACGTCTCTTTTTTAAAAATAATTTGTTGATACAGCTAGAATGAAATTTTGAAAAAAAGCACGAAAAAAATGAAACAGATGAAACTGCGCTTACATGAATAAAATTATCTTATTCCACTTGTAGATGTTATATATAGATATTTTGAAAATAATTCATACTGAATACGAGACTTAATGACCTCTTAGGATAAACATTTTGTGCATTACATTAGACTGTAACTGCATCCAATCTACCAAATGCCCAAAAATGTGAACGCCTTTTTATCGCCCTCCAGTGGACTGAATCCACACTGCTACTTTGGAGGGAGTCAGAGAAATTAGATGCGAAAATTCAAAGAGTGACTTCCAATCACATTTTCACCCTCTCTCAGTTACTGTTTATTAGCCTACATCAGCAGTACCCGTTTAGATAATTGAAATTGCAGCGTGCCTCACTGATTTGGTATATCCTGTCATATCATCCACTTCAAGACCAGCAGCATTCACCTGACTTGTTCTGGCATTGCGTTTTCTGTATCCTTTTCCTTCAGATTACATCCAACTAGGATCAGTAATGTAGTGGCAAATCAAAATTGTGCACTATGATATCCAGCAGGTGAGGATCATAGAACAAACTATTAGGAGACAGAAAATGTGATTATATTTTTCGGGAAAAAAGACAACCTTTTCCCTTTAACTTCAATTAATTTAGACCTAATCTGAAAATAATAAGGTGCTGAACTGAGTTTAAATGTTATTGCCCTCCACTACATTCCTGTCTAGCACTCTATTGGTTCAGTAGCTATCCTTCCATCTCCAGCAGCATTAACTCATGATGGTTGGCCACAGCTTCAACATGCCATTTTAACAAGACACCAAATACACAGCCTGTCAATAGTGCTCCACACACAGGTTCCCGTGGCATCAACCCTTTCATCATTTGATTGAAGAGTTTGTTTTTATTAAGAAGGCTATACCAGACGCATAATCACTATACATTGATTTAACATTACCTTTACAATTAAATTCTTCACTGAAATTACAGAATAAATATATGCACATTTTTCTTCAAATCTTTGTGAGAGAGAAAACATTAAAAGTGCTTCCTACAAAGCCGTTAGTGGGTGACGATGGGGAATCCAGAAGCAATGGAAGGGGGAGGGAGGGGGGGTCAACAAAGTGTGTGGAAATATCCAGAAAACCTTGAGCGTTGTCTTATAATAATATTCACAAAGGTTTTACCATCCGTACATCGGCGCGTCCTTTTTACGAGAAGCACCCTGATATAGACAGAAGTCCTCATTAATAGTAATAACCATATTAATAAGATATAAAAATTAAATAGAACACTGAACTGTAAATGCGTTGCAGTATCTCTGTTCATAATGTGATGTGATAGTTCTGAGTAAATCCCCTCGCTTTCTGCACTGAAGCGAGTGCATGCAGCAAACTGCAGTTCATTTTAATATATGTATTTTTTCTCTCTTTCAATCAAATCCTACAAACGTTATGTGCACGGCCTCCGGGTGTTTGTACATCCTAGTCAGGGGTAAAAGAGAAAGAAAGAAAACCCTCAAGTCAGGGAGACGTCCAGCTCCCGTGCGTCTTGCACATCATGGTAACTCCATAAAAAGGGGTTTAAGTGACAGATGTATTTAGGATGTTTCTTATGTTTTATTCCCCGGTGCCCCTCTTATTCCTCTTTTGCTCTCTCTTGGGCATATAGAGATATTTATATATTATAAAAATAACGGCTGTTGACATTGCTGGCTACTCTGAAAAAAAGGCACTTCATTGAAATATCTGAGAATGGCCTCTCCTCCAAAGTGATTTGGGGGGAAACTTTGTTTTAACTGTAATATATTATTTCATTTTATATCATGCTGCTTTTTCAAGTTTATTTTTTTTTTGATATTGGTTTTGGGTGATTTTGTTTTGAGGGTGGCAAAGTGAATGTGTTGATTTTGTTGTGTTTCATTTTTTTTTTCTCCATGGGCTAGAGATGTTAAAACCGGTAAGATTTTTCCAAGACTTCGAGGTAATCCGGCTTGGTTTGAAGTTTGGCCCTTAACTCGAGGTAATCGCTTTGGGACGGGTCAGGGTAGCAGCCTTTCCCCGCCGTGAAAAGCAATGTCTCCTTCAGCCGTGCATCCTGCTGCAAATCCGGGTACTGCATGCCTGGTGGGTGCGCATGCGCCACATGCATGTCCTTTAATTTGGGCACTGTCCCATACAAACAGTCTACAAAGCCCACTGTTGGTGTGGGCCTCTGACTGTCAATTACTGTAGGGCAGAGCCCTCCATTCTCATGAAATCCTGCCATGTCAGCCGTGGTGTGGTTGACTGTGACGATGGTGTTGAGTTGAGAGTTGGAGACGGCCAGGGTCCACTCTCTTTCTTTCTCTAACAAGGTTCTGTAGTTACTGTTGCTACTGCTGCCATTGTCTTTCTTCTCTGAAAACTGTGCTCTGTCTTCCTCTGCTATCTCCCCCTCTCTAGGCTTATAGATGGGGTTATTACACATCTGAGTCACAGGGTGGGGGATGTAATCATAAACGTGACCATGGGCATGTGTGTGACTAGTGTGAGTGTGTGTGTGCATATTGGGCGTTGGTTTCTCTGGTGTGCCAGTGTTACCGGCACTACTCTGCCTTGGTGGGTCCTCAAAAATCCTGCATTGCATTTGGATGCCCGTCAGATCTACCTCAGAACGTTTCCTGAAGGGCAACTTCTTCCTGCGACGAAGAACAAAAGCGAAAAGCCCGGCAGCCACAAACACAGCGGAGATGAAGAGGATGAGTAGGCTGAGGATGAGGACAGAGAGTGGGACAGCCCCCCTCCCATGTGCCTCCCCCATGTCAGAGCTCCCTGTGGTAAGATCATCCCCACCAGGCAGGGCCGGTGAGGGGCCTGAAGAATACTTGAGCTCAGGACAGATGACCTCAACCTCCAGTGAACGCAGGTCCTTCCCAAAAGCATATTCAGGTGTCTTGCAGATGACATCTCCAACCACAATGACAGAGGAGAGCTTTTCCAGCCACTGTTTGAGGGGGATGATATCACAGGAGCAGTCCCAGGGGTTCTGATGGAGGTCAATCTGGACAATGGATGTCAGATGTTCCAGAACTCCACGCACAGGCAGAGAAAGGAAGTAGTTGTTGCGGAGGTTGAGGCGTGCAAGGTTAGTGCCAGCAAAGGCTTCAGTGGGGAGGGAGCGTAACAGGTTGTCACTGAGGAAAACCAGCTGGAGGTTTGGCATTAGGGAGAAGGAGTTAGGCTGTATCTCGCGTATGACATTATACTCAAAGTAAAGATAACTCAACATCTGAAGCCCTCGGAACATACCAGGGGTGAGTCGCTCAATGTCATTCCCATTCAGATATAAACTTTTCAAGTTTGGAAGGTTGATAAAGGCGCCCTCCTGGACATAGGATATCCGATTATTCCCTAAATGCAGTAAATCCAAGCTTGAGAAGTTCCAGAAATCAGAACGATAGATTTTCTGTATTAGGTTCCCACTGAGATACAATTTCTTGGCATTGAGGGGCCGAGGCAGGAGCTCAGAGATGTTGTGAAAGCCTTTTTCTTTACAGTTAACTGTTAGCCCTAGGTCATTGATGTGAAGGTTGCAAGTACATCCAGCTGGACAAATTATTGGGATTGGAGGCCTTGTTTGGTAGCCAGCAATGGGGGGCAGGTTCATGCCTGGGTAGATGCTACGAGGGGTTGGGGGGTTCTTTGTGGGCCTGGGCCGTTTGGTAGGCTTGACAACTCTTTCCTTGTATTCCACAGAAGAGGCTGTGTTGTGAAAGGAGGAGAGCATGGAGGAAGGTTTAGTAGGCCATGTGTTCTCATTGCTGAATGGGACCCGGGGAATTCCCAGCTTGGCCTCTATCTCTGCATCGGAGAGCAGCGGACAGAGCTCACTGCGCTTGATTTCCCGTAAGTCCTTCCCATGTAATTGGAATGGGTGCTCACATGTGATCTCACCGACCAGAGCTGTATAAGGGATTCTCTCCAGCCATGTTTTTAACTGGACAATCTCGCACACACAGTTCCAAGGGTTCTCCTCCAGCTGGATTTCCATTAAGCTCCTCCCAATGTACTCCAGCGTGCCTTTATATGGCAATGTCTTAAGTCTGTTTCCTCTCAGGTCCAGATGTGTGAGTGACACAGACCGGAAAAGATAATTTGGGAGCACAGGGATCAGATTGTCATTAAGTATGAGCACTCTCAATTTGTGAAGGTGCCTAAATGCACCACTTTCAATCCGTTTGATAACATTGTAGTCCGCCTGGAGATACTCTAAACTCTCCAACCCCAGAAAAGTGTCATTCCGGAAAACTTCTAGTTTGTTTTCATGTAGGAAAAGCCGTTTGAGTATTCCTAAGCCATTGAATGCTCCAGCATGGATATCTTGCAAAGCGTTATTACCCAGATTAATGGATATTGCATTGTTGAGATGGAGGAAGCTGTTAAAGTAAAGCTTCCTCATGGAGTTTCTCTGCAGATTGAGCTTGAAAGGCCGAGTCCATATCTGGGAAATCTGGCTGACATTTGTAAATCCTTTACTGTCACAGTGGACGTGGAAGATGCCCTCTTTGACCTCGCAGTAGCAGGGCTCGAAGCAGGGCTCGTCGATCTCCTCGGAGTCCTCTAGTAGTGGGATCGGGGTGGTCCATCCTAAGGCTATGGTGCTCAGCAAGGTAACCCACAGCATCCTCGCTGACACCAAGGGGATGAAGTCTCGGCTCCAGAGACAGAGCCACTTCACAGCACTGCAACACAGAACAGAGAGAGAGAGAATGGATGGGAGGGGAGAATAGAGGTAGGGAATACACACACAAGTACACACCCTCACAAAGTGAAGTTTGAGATGAGAGACAGGCAGAGGAGCGAGAGGAGGGTGCATTAGTTTCAGTAGAATGGAAAATGGCTTTGAAATGAATACCAATGAATAATAGAATGACACTGTAGACTGCTTAAGGTGTTGCAATATTGCTGGGTATCTCAAAAAAAAAAAAAAAAAAACAGCAGTTTTGGATGGGTAATATGATACCCAGCAACGCAAACAAATCTCTACATCCAGACAGTTAACGTCCGTATATGGGGGGTGCCATTTATTATACCGCAGATATGCTGGTAAGGTCGCAATAAATCACCTCAGAGATGCTTATCACCACGAATAAACGAAGGCAACAGCAGGTGGGTGAGGTTACTGGTGAGGAGACAACGTCCCCCAGCTTTATTACATAACAGGGATCTCAATCCCCCTTTCAGTAAATGAGAGTCCAGAAAAGCGCGTTGGAAATTAGAGTAGATGCATCGAAGGTCTAGCGCAGGAAGAGGACGGGGAAATAGGTGGGACACTGGTGGGACAAGTAGAGGACTGGTGACTGTTGCTGGACATCCATCTCGGTAAAATGAATCTTAGCATATTTATATGTTCTCGTCTTTAGCTCGTGGAAATCTAATAAAAAGGTTTAAAAAAAAGTGAGCACGGGTATAGAAAATGAAAACTGAATTTACCAGTGTAAATATTGCAGAAACATGTCAAAAACAGGTGGAGGGAAACGAAAATAGTCCAGTATGTCCAATGATTCCGGCGTGCAGAAAACGGCAGAGCATATGCCCTCGGTGTTTTCTTGGGTTAAATTTCCACGTATAAACCCAATAAACAGGGATAACTGTTGACTTATTAATTGTAACTTAACCTGTCGTTTGCCAGAAAATACAATCAATACAACTTCTTCTGGCTTTCCCACTTGGTGATGCCGTTTAAGGATAATAGGAGCAAGTGAAAAGCGCAGTGGGCGAAGCTGGTGCTCCGAGATACTCTGTTATGAGTCTGTGCTTTAGTAGATCCGGCCTGCCTAGAAATGAATAATATCATGTATAAAGAGGACGAATGAAAAAAACAAAAAAGTGATCATTACAATGTTTATAAGAATAAAGCTTTCTGAATTTTGTTTTCTTAGAAAAACATGGGGGATAGGAGCTGGTCGAAGGTTCCGTTCAGTGTCTCCATGGTGGTAAGTGGGGGAAAAGTCACACACAAACACACACACACACACACTCTCTGAAAATCTTTGCTGTGGGCTGAGACTTTTCATACACGCACACACACACACACACACAAACACACGCAGCGCTGTCCGTTCAAACCAGGATGCTGAAAATCCAGAGGAGACGCGCTGGGACCGACTGCCGGAGCAGAGACGCTGTCCATGGTGCTGAAAACAAAAGCCCAGCGAAAGGAAAAGAGAGAAGGAGGAAAAGGGAAAATGGATTGTAATCCCCCAAAAAACACAGAAAAGGGAGATTTTTTTTTCCTTGAACAGGATCTCCTGCAACATACACTGTTTTCATTTCTCTCTCCGTGCGTAATCCTCCAGTATTTAATGATTCCGCTTCCATGATAGGGATCAAAAAGCGTCGGTGCGATGTCAGAAAAGAAGTATTAACGACATTTAAAGCTATTAAAAAAACAATATCTGTCATAATACATTCCCCTTGGGCTGTATCAAATCGGGTGGTATACGTACTTAGTTTAGTGGGATTCCAACTTCACATATCCTCCTGCGGTGTGTTGTGCTGTCGCCCGGTGCGTCCCGCTCACCGTCCGATGCCGGGCTGTGAGGAAGACAACAAGAAATGGGGGTGACCGAGCCGTTAGAGGAACAGGGGGAGACAGGGAGAGAGAGAGAGAGAGAGAGGGAGAGAGAGAGAGAGAGAGAGAGAGAGAGAAAAGTAGATGATGAAAAGAGGGAGCAGGGCATTGAAGGAAGGAGAGAGGAAGAGATGCGCATGTGAATGAGCCATGGATTCAAAAACCAAGCTGGGGAGATTCTCCACAGCCCTGTACTTACACGAATTAAAAGTGCTACTCATCGCCAGTGGCAATTTTAATACGACCCATTCAAAGATTTCAATCTTGAATTTATAGCACACTTAGTTATTGAGAAAGGGTCGTATCTAACGAGCTCCCCAGTCCGGTCAAGAAAGCAGGCTCTCGTATATTGAAATTTCCCCCAAAATAACCTTGCTGTCAGTACAGCGGAGAGAGCGGAGCGCTTATTGAAATACATGCCAAGCATAATGCAGTAGCCTTTCGTCGTGACATTGGCAGGAAAACGGTGAATAAAGAATAAAAAGGTTACTGATCAGGCGCCTGCATCCCTGCGATCCGTTATCCTCGATTTGTTGAAGTCCATGGCTATGCAGACTCCAATAAACACACGGACACACACACATATATCTGCATAAGATTCCCCTCATGATACACACAAACACACTCACCTTAGTTTCGTACTGCAATTGGAAAGCATCGGGGGGGAAAAAAAAGACCACAAGTATGAATCTTGTTAGATCTCTCTCTTTGCTCGCTCTCTCTTTATTTCCCTCTCTCTCCCTCCTTCTCTCTCACCCTCTCTCACTCAGTAGCTGAGGCAAAAGAGAGGAGAAATGAAGACGTGATGGGAATGCAATCTCCCCCACTCTCGCTCTCCGGTGACTCTCTCCCCTTCTTTCTCGTCTCCTCTTTTTTTCTAAGCAGTTTGCTTAAAATGCAAGCCCTCGACTTGTGCCCGTCCGCTTCCTCTTCCTCCCCTCTCCTCCTTCTCCTCCTCCTTCCCCTCCTCCGCCGCCGTCGTCGCCGCCCCCCGGGCGAGCGCTCAACAGTGTAGCCGGGTGAGAGTGTTCTCCTCTCGGTTTCAGGACCGTGCCTCTGTCCGGTGCAGTAATAGCAGGAGTCTGTGGATCATATCGACGGTTGGGTCAGCTGCTGCTGCTTTATTATTATTTCTTTCTCTCTTTTTTTTTTTTTTGGTCTTTCTTTCTTTCCTCGGGTCCGTTTCCCTGTCGTGCGTCAGAGGAGTGAGGGACTAAGCTGGGGAGGGGGGCAAAGGGGTGAGAGACGCAGTGGAGAGAGATCTGGCGGTGAGAGAAAGAGGAGGAGGGGAGGAAAAGAGTGATGGGGACGGTTGCGCTATAGTTCTGGATGCTGTCGAGAGGAGGAGAGGAAGCGAAGTGAAGAGAGGAGAGAGTGAGGAGAGCTCTGGGTATCGCAGCGGGGACGCGCGTTAAGGGGGAACAAAATAAATAAATAAGAGTGAGGGAGCGCGCCGTGCGGGGTGGGTGAGACTGCCAGACCTGTGGATGACAGTCAGGACGCAAGACGACTCCCTTTACACGATCCTCATTTCTAAAATTACTGAGATTTATCTAATAATGAGCACAATGATACTCAATTATCCTACTGAGGGTAATTTTCTTGGCTGCAGTTGGATCGAGCAACAGAAATGTGGACTTGGCAGCACCTTGCTCTGCCAGTGCCTCCTCTCTCTGCTGTGGAGACGAAGAGGGTGGCCGCGGCTATCTACAGCGAGCGGGGGAGAGGCAGGGAAATATACAGAGCGCTTCATCCTTTCCCTCCGTTTGCGTGCCTTCCCCCGCCTCGCCTCCAGCGGGCAACACAAGCCCATGTTGTGAGCAGAAAGTCGAGTTAGAGCTCGCAAGCACGACTGAAGGCACCATCACGATTCCGAGCTCTCACAGCTCTGCAAGGAAGGGGCTGATTGCAGTGGAAAGTTGGAATCTCCCTACAGTGTCTCTGGTTATAACACAGCACCTGATATGTTGCTACAATTAAGGCGTTTTACAGTACAGTCATGATACTAGATTGCTGGTCTCAGGACAGGTTTTTTTGGTTTATGCACTCCTTCATAGAGAGGACACCTGATTGGTGTGAACAGTCTGCATTCTAATAGCCATTAGTACAAGGCTCACATTTGAGATCCTTCAACAGTTATGCTTTGGCAGAAAAGAGCATATCATATCTAAAAATACTTTATTATTAAAGTCTTTTTGGATGAGAAATTTTAGGTGTTATTTCCTCTCTCTCACCATTTAAGTTTAATAAATCTGAAGGGTAACCATGGAAGCTGCTAAAGGCCTCTGGCGGTCCCTTAACCCCACACACAGAATCCGCTGACCTTCCGGATTATTTTTAAAATGATCCCGTTGTAGGATTAGAGGAGTAAATTTATCCCATTTGTAACCCCTGTTGATGTTTATGGCCCGGCGGATTAAAACAGGCAAAATGATTGAGCTCACAGGAGATCCTCATCAACTGGGCATACAGGAGATGAATGAATATGTATTGTTGTTGTCATCACAAATGTCTGTTCATGGAGATTTTTCTATTAATAGTTTTAATGTTTTTCCTAATTGCCTGTACTTCAGAGCAGGGTCAGTGGCAATGCAAGTGTATTAGATAATGTTCTACACTAAAATAAATCTACATACCGGTATTAACACAAACCAAATAAATAAAATGAGTGAATAATAATCAAAAGTTTTGAGGCATTGTCATTACAAATGTGTGTTAGGGTGTCACAATGCAAATTATTCGCTGTTCAGTTTATTTACATCAGTCCCTATAGGTTATACATATAAAGCAAAATACACACAACCTAAACCGGAGCCCATACACACCAATCCACACAAGCATAATGTACACACACCCAAATACACCAGCCATGGATAGGAGGTTAGACATGAGTGTTTGGGAGCAGCTGGTGGTCTGTAAAACTGCCATTCTTCTTTATGAAAAGCCATCATTCACTCCTTCAGCCTGTCAGCTAATGTCAGACAGACTGACATGAGGCCACCACAAACCTTTCATTCAGCTTACAGGTCATGGATAGGCCAGAGTTTGTCACAATGAAGCAGTAGTGACCTTAAGATTACAGATCCGGGCTAATGAGATCACCAGTTAGAATTTCCAGTTTGAGTGACACAGCTAAAATGGATCTGTATGGGTTTGACAAGTACCATACCGAAACAAAAGCCTGGGCTCTAAAGTGAAAATAAAGCGAGTGACAAAAGAAAAGTAGTCATGAGAAGTTTATTTGCATATATGAATAAGTTACTGTTTTATATACTTGAAATGATTTAGTTATTTAGTAATGAGTTGTCTAAGTCAAGAGCACATCTAAAGTACATTGTCAACTACACTGTTGCACATGTAATAAATGTTTGTTAGTACAACATACAATACATATTCCACTTTAATTAGTTTTGTTTAAGGCAATTGGTTTGCATGCTTTTAAATAAGGTTAACTAATTAGAATGTATGGTGATAGGGCTTTGCAGCACCAACGTTATTCAACAATTAATGTAGTGAGAACAATATATAAAAAATAAAAAACGACTTTCTTCACTATATTGGTCGGCGTACAATGACTTTGCAATGTCAATGACAAGCTATACTCTTGGGGCAGGGAGAATAATGACTGTGAAGTGTTGTTATACTGCCTTAAAGGAGGAGGTGGTTAGACCTGCAGAGTGCGGGACTCTTTTGCATCCTGTCTCCTACAGTACCAACAATGAACAGTAGTTTCTTTTAACTGTGACCACAACCTTTTTATAACCTTAACCAAGTACTTTTGGTTATCTAAACCACAGTGATGGCAGATCAGAAAAAGCTTATACATTTTTTTTTGTTAACTGACATGTACATCATTTTGGAAGGCACTAAAAACAATGTTATGTGGTGCATATCGGTTGATTTGGAAGGCAATTACTGTACAAACTATCTATTTTGTGATTTGGGTCGAAAAACTTCCAGGAAAAAAAATTGACCAAATGAGACCTTCATAAAGAACAAGATAAGGATTCAAAGGGGAAAAAAAATGTGCTAAGCCACCAAGGACAGAAGAATCACCTTCCCCCTATTAGGCATACAATGTGTGCAAAGACTGAAATATGTTCAAATCTGTCACTGGATGTAGATAATCAAAAGGAAAATACAAGTACAAAGAAAAGCACAGTCAAGATGTTTGACTGATGTGTCTGGACATCTTAACGGGCATTAAAGTCAACTCAGTCATCACTGACCTTTCAAAGTCAGTACAGCATGATGAAGGGACATCAGTGACAACTTTGTCATCATGGACAGCAAGTAGCACTGCGACCAATGAGGAAGGAAACAGCTGCCAGTACTGCTCAACCACAGCCACCTCCTGAAATGAAAAGAGAGAGGAGATGCACCCATACAGTACATGCAGCAGAGGGATGGCATTCACTGAAGATAACACGTGAATGGCAGTTCTGCTCTCCTGGGTGCCAGCTGGTGCAGAGCAAACCACAGTACACCAAAAAAAACAAATATTCCTACACACCAGGATACTGGGATTGACACTATTTTATTAAAGATTACACTATACATTTAAAGGAGTAAACTGTAGGTTTTGCATGTTGCTTCATCAGGTTAGCTTTGTGCTCTCTCTCTGATCTAGAGTTAGTCCCCGGAAGCCACACAATGGCTGCCCACTGCTCCCAGTACTTAAGATGGGTGAAAGTTTTAATATGTATTTACATTACATATTGAATTTTGATATGTTTGAGATGTTTTATTTTAGATATCAAAATATCAAATTTCTATATTTTGTACATATTTATGGTATCTTACGGAATTCTATGCAGTGTATGTACTCCTCCTCTGTAGTTTTGGAGATGGAATAGTCCCTTTTCTTAAATTTGACATTAATTGTATCTCGTTATTTCTCGTTATGGAAATGGAAATGTAATATGTATCTAATGTTGTATGGCAGAATTATAGTTGTTATTGCCTATCATTTTTTACTTTTTGAAGAGTGTTTGAATGCAAACCTATCGGATTCTCCACTAATGAGCACCTGATCATTAAAAGGCATGCATAAAGTAAATCTGATGAAGCTAAATGTGATCTGTTTACTGTGTTTTGGATGAGGATTAAGGTAAGGATTTCATATTTCATACATATTGTGGCATTTTACACATTCCAGTCAAGAGGTTAGTGTGCAGAATTACTGGTAGCAACAGCACTTATACTACAACACCAATGGCTAAGAGAGGGGAGTATCACTTTAATTTTATAGGCCCATTAAGTACTGCTATAAACATTACATATATTTTATATTATACTTTTACTTCTTAATGACAAACAACAATGTTCTTCAAACTTCAAAAGTTAAAGGGGAAAAAGTTTTGGCTCCATTAAAAACTTTCCCCCTTTTTTAGCTGTCACCTTTAGAAACTTCCCATTACCCCTCTTCTGCTTGTCATCAGGGGTTTCAGTGACATACCTCATGCCACCTGCCTAAGTCCTTTGTGGACCACAAGGGATGGTGTCAAATAATTCCCTGTCTATCGGTCTGTCTATCTATCTCTCTCTCCTCCTGTCAGTCTGCCTGACTGCTTGGGAGTCAATACGCCTGAATGCTGGTCTGCCTTTCTTGCTGTCCACTTACATCCTCGCCTGGCTGCCTGCCAACCGGACCACCTGCCTGCCAGTCCCTCTACCTGATGTTGTGCCTGTTTGGCTGACTGGCTGCCTGCTTTCATGTCTATCTGTCTCCGTGCCGCTGCACCTACTTGCGTGTGTCAATACAACTGCTTGTCTTGATGGCCGTAAGGATGTTCCTTATAGTTGGCGTATATTTAACACAGTCAAAGATAAGACTGATTCAATCACACAGAACAACATTTTGAGAAAAAAGTAGTCTGACATGGATGGATAATTGTTATTATAATACTGTATGCTCAAAAACATTTTAATATTTGTTTTATTAGTTTGACAACCAGTTTTGTATCTCATCTCTTGTAGTATATCTGTCCACTCACCTCAGATCGAGAAACACAAAATGATTGTTGGGTTTTTTAAATCAATGACACTGTAGTTCAGTCTGTACTCTGCAAAATGCTGCATGGTTTGTTGATGATTGAGATCAAGAGATTTTATGGAAAGCCCAGAGTATGTTTGTAGAACCCTATGGACAGAAAACCTGCAAATATCGATATAAAAGAGAGAGAGAGAGAAACCCTCACCAAATATCTATTTTTTAAATATATATATATATACACACTAAATCCAATGGGTTGTGCATTCTAGTTTAATTATGAGGAATGTATAAGGGGTGCTGACTGACAGCCACAAGAAGCTATACAGATAATACTATAAATGCCATTGTGTGAAAATAAGGAATCTGCTGCATTCACTTTAAAAGTTATTTGTAGTTCAGAGCCTGGCCTTGAAATTTCAATGTGTTTCCAGAGTGCGAGTCTAGTCTGGCCTAGGATTTAAGAAGCAGTGGCTGGGGAAAACATTGACTTGGAAAACACAATTGAAAAGATTCTTTGAGGAGATCAATTTATGTTAGTATTCAATTTGAACAATGCTCTCATTTTTGTTTTTACCATTGAAGCCTAAAGAAAATTCTTAGTAGAAATTAAGCCAAAAAACCCCATGTGCTTCTTATTATCGTCAATTGTTGAAGCGGACTCTCACAGGATTAGTTGCTGCAAATATACTGGGC